TACCTTGAATAAAACATGGGTCTTAAAGGTGCCGCTGGACTCTAAAATTGTTCAGCTGTTTGATACCAACATGGCTGACCACCAGGATCATACATACATACATACAGGTGTGTATGTGTGTGTGTGTGTACACCAGACAGACAGATAGATAGATAGAGTTGGGTCACCGTGTTGGTCTGGAGCAACAGAACAACATTTGAGTCCAGTGGCACCTTTAAGGTATAAGCTTTTGTGTGCACGCACACCTCTTTGGATATCTGATGAAGTGTGCATGCACATGAAGGCTTTGTTGGTCTTAAAGGTGCCCCTGGACTCAAACTTTGTTTTATATTTGTTAGAGAGACAGAGCTTTCCCGTTTATTTATTAATTGAAACATTTCAATCTGGCCTTGGCTCAAGGTGGGTTACAATAATAGTTAAAACATCCCCAGCTAAAACCGAGTGCAAAATAGTAAGTACTGTCCCTGCTTCCTCCCCTTCAAAGCTGCCTGCCCTTTAATCATGTAGGATTGGAATTCCCACTCCCCAGGTCTTCAGCTTCCTTCATCTTTACTCACATTTAATTCCAATTGTCCGTGTCTCAAATAACCAGGAAGATTAGCCACCAACCTACAATCCATGGGCCAAATTACAAGGGAGTGAAGAGAGCCGTTTTTATGAAAACAAGCAAATAAATCCTCTCTCTTGTAAGGCCAGCAAAGCTGATTCACACATACAATCCCTTGTTGAGCATTTGGAGCGGAACCCGGGAATTCCCTCCATTGAATACCACATGGTGCTAGAATGGTTAAAACCTCTCTTGATGGAATGCGGTCTGGGATGACCATCCACACATGCAAGTGATCCAAGTGCAAAAAGCCCACCTAAGTCAGCATCTTCTAGCACTGTACAGCAGTTTAGCATCTGAGCCACAATTCAATAGGGAAGGGTCTGTTTTAACTCTCAACATCAGCAATTAAAAATCTTTTAAAACACTTGTTTTTAAGAAAAGAACTGGAGCTATGCTGGATCAGACCAAAGGCCCATCAAGTCCGGCATTCTGTTCATTCAGGGGCCAACCGACTGCCTTCGGGAAGCCCCCCAGATTGGATGACCATGATCAGGAAAGCAGGACGGAGGGCAGGGAGGGACCTTGTTAGGGTGCAATGGCACGCAGTCGACCTTCCAAAGCAGCCATTTTCTTTGGGAGAACAGGATGAAATGTTTTAAACAGGGCTGTTTTGGGGCAGGAACGCACAGGAACGGAGTTCCAGCTGGCTCCCGAGTTGGCCACGCCCAGCAGGAACTCATTAGCGTAATAGGCCACACCCAACAGCAGACACTCATTAGGATTGGCTACATTAGGGGTGTGTGGCCTAACATGCAAAGGAGTTCCTGCTACAAAAAAAGGCCCTGGGTCTTGACCACAAACAAGGTAAACAGAATAAGAAGCAAAAGGTGGGTGTGGCTGGATAACCACACTTCTGGTAACATGGGGGTGCGGCCTAATATGCTAATGAGCTGTGCTGTCAGGGGTGTAGCCTAATATGCTAATGAGTTCCTGCTGTTGGGTGTGGCCTATTATGCTAATGAGTTCCTGCTGGGGGTTTTCTACAAAAAGAGCCCTGGTTAAATAAATAATAAGTGATTCATGTAGTCTGGAGATATTTGTAATTCCGTGAGAACTCCAGAGTTTGGCAACCCCAGGTAGCCACTGATAGTCTCGTCTTCCATGAATTCATCCACTCCTCTTTTAAAGCCTTCCAAGGCCCCGGTCACACGGGCCAGATAACACGGGGGGGAAGCGTGGCTGTTCGCCCCGAAGCAAAATAAAGCGCGGTAGCTCGATCCCACGGTCCCCCGAGTCTCCGTGCTTCGGCTGTTAGCTGGCGATCACACGGCGATGCTGCAGCGTGGCAAAGAGGCGGCGCGGCACAATCACACAAGCGTTTCGCGTTTGTGCACATGCGCAGTTCTGCGGAGCAGCACTGCTTTCAGTTTCGTGTTTGTGTGCATGCGCTTACGAACAACATCTGGTTTGCGACGGGATGTGGACGGGCGCCAGATGCCACGGGATACTAGCGCTCCCGCGATCAGACGCCCGCCTGTGCCGCGTGTTTTCCAGATACCAGTGCACTTTCTTTGGTACTTTTTAACTCCGCATCTTTGGCGGGACGCCATGGGTTGGCCACAGGTGTGCTACGCTTCCCAGATGTTGCAGTGTGATCATGCCCCGAAAATCCGCCTGACATTCGTGCCTTTTGCGCGGCAAAATCTCCGTGTGACCGGGGCCCAAGTTGGCAGCCATCACCATATCCTGTGACAGGGAGTTCCGCAGTTTAACTATGAGCTGTGTGAAGAAAGACTTCCTCATGTCCGTCCTGAATCTTCCACTTCAGTGGATGACCCCAGGTTCTAGTATTATGGGAGAGTTTTCTCCCTGTCCACCCTCTCCACTCGGGAGATAATAGACCTCTACATGTCTCTCCCCACACTTGCCTTTTTTTTTTTTTTACAGTAAGCAGCCCTGCACGTTTTTATCAGTCCTCACAGCCTGCAGTGTTCCCTCTAAGCTGAGTGAGTGTGAGCTAGCTCACAGTTTTTTAGCCTCCAGCTCACACATGCTTTTTTTTGCTCAGGAAGGACAGCTCCAGAGCAAACTAATTTATGCTGTAGCCAAATCGCTTGCTCACAACTTTAATGCCGGTAGCTCACAAGGTAGAATTTTTGCTCACAAGACTCCACAGCTTAGAGGGAACAGCTGCTCTTTCCCACACCTTTACAAGCTCTACAATAGCCTTTCTCAGAACTGTACAGATGTGTACATGATATTCCAAGCCCTGACACCTTGGGATAATCCAGATGACAAGTACCAATGAAAGAAGGAACCAATAAAGGGAGGGGGAGGGGAGATGAGCATTGATCAAGGCGACTATGCCGGCTTTGGTGTTCCACAGAACTCTTCATCTGACGGGACGGAAAGGCAGCCAGATCATCCGTGTACACTGGATGTAATGTAATTCCCTCTCTGTCTCTTATCAGTGTGTGTGTGTTGGCAGAGGTCATTTCGTAGAAAAAGAGGTGCAGGAGCTCATTCGCATAACTCATTCGTGTAACTTATTTGCATATGCCACACCCCCTGACCTCACCGGAAGTGTGTCAGAAGGCAACACCCACCGCTCAGGTTCCACTGGACTGTTCTGGATTGCTAGCTATGGGGGGGTGGGGGGACATGCAGATCTGTCCTCGCAGAGGAGGGAGAGCTTGTACCTGAATAAAACTTGGTCTTAAAGGTGCCACTGGACTTACCTGGCTGCTTCTTGCTCTGACTGAGGGCTGCTGGGAGCAGGGGGTGGGGCTTGTTGCATGTGCCCGCCCCCTGGGCTCTTTACTGCCAGAGCTCCGCTCCTGCGCACTCCTGCAGGAAATGACCCCTGTGTGTTGGGGGTGGGTGGGTGTCTTTTTATGAAGAATTCTGTGTAACTCAGAAGTGGACATACTTTGTCAAACCAAAGTAGACTGGCCGAGTCGAAGAGCTCATCCCCCCTCCTACAGTAAAATGCCAAACAGAGCTGTGTTTAGTTTAGTTTAGTTTATTTCTTTATTTATTAGTTCCATCTAGAGAAGCAGTAACAAGGAGGGCAGGCAGCCTGTTATCGCCTCATCTCGTCAGATCTCAGAAGCAAAGCTGGGTCAGTATTGGATGGGAGTCCACCAAGGAAGACTCTGCAGAGGAAGGCGATGGCAAACCACCTCTGCCTCTCCCATGCCTTGAAAGCCCCTGGCTGGGGTCACCTGCGACTTGACACCATTCACATGCATACAGAGCCTTTGACGGGGGGGGGGGGGGGGGGTGGTGCAATGTTCCCTCTGAGCTGTGGAGTCTTGTGAGCAAAAATTCTGCTTTGTGAGCTACTGCCATTAAAGTTCTGAGCAGGTGATTTGGCTGCGGTATAGCTTAGTTTGCTCTGGAGCCCTCCTTCCTGAGCCGAGACAGAAATGTGTGAGCTGGAGGCTAAAAAACTGTGAGCTAGCTCACACTAACTCAGCTTAGAGGGAACACTGCTTCTGGGGTGTCTCCTCAGTCATGTTGCCTCGTATTTCTCTTCAGCACACTAGATGTCCCACGACAACTCGTGTTCCCTCTCAGCTGAGTGAGTGTGAGTGATGCAGCAGCCAAATCGCTCGCTGACAACTGTAATGCCAGTCGCTCACAAAGTAGAATTCTTGCTCACAAGACTTCACAGCTTAGAGGGAACATTGACGACAACGTGTTTGCCTGGGCTAAAAAACCCTCCCCCCCTCCCCAGTGTGATGTAAGCCCCCAAATCCACCAAGCAGCTGTTTGAATGCTGATAGCAGAAAGTCCCAGGATAAAGTTAACCGGGGCAGAAAGACTGTCACAGCTCCATGTGCCCGACAGGCGATCCATTGGCACTGAGTGAACGTTAGGGGTGTTAGTAATTGTCCTAGCAGAACTATTTCATGAATGCCCGAGGATTGCAGAATAAAGAAGCAGGTTATTAGAATCAGGTGGCCCCTGCTCGGGAAGGGAGGAGGAAGTGAGTAGACGCAACTATTTCCCCAAAGGGGAGGAGGGACGAGGAGCTGGAGTTTCCAGGTGTGTATCTTCTCTCTGTATAAAAAGGGCGACAGGTGCAAAGCTGGCTTCAGATCACCTGTCATTCCACCTGGCTATCACGCCCCCCCTCCAAGAACAGGGCAAGGACAAGCCTCTCCGGCCACAATGGTAAGGATGACGGGTCTGCCACCTCCAGGTGCCGGCTGGAAATGCTGGAGTTCTTCCGCTGGGCCGGTCCCGGTGCGGCACCTTGGCCACACAAGGCAGATTCAGCCTGGCAGACGGCAGAGCGGGCTGAGGTGCCGCCAGGGTACACAGCGTGCAACTTCTGGGTGTGTCTGTGTGGATGCTTTGGGTTTATAGGGAGGGGCTGTAACTCAGCCACTCAGCACTCGGCTCAGTGTGCAGGAGAAATCTCAGTCCGGGTCCCTGGAAGCATCTTCCGTCAAAGGATCCCAGGTAGCTGGTGACAGGAGAGCCCCTGCCAGCCAGAGGGGCCAACGCACAGCCCCATAGCCCGGCCCCATAGCCTGGCTCAGAAGAAAGGCAGCATTTTGGATGTTGAAGGTATGTTGAGTGTGGCTGCACGGCGTGGGGCACTGTGTGCGGCTTCAGGTCTGTCACCTGTTTATTCATTGTCATATTGGTACCCCACCTTTCCTTTCTGCTCCAGGAGGTTGGGTGCTTTTGTTTCAGTTGTGACCTCAGTTTTGGGAGAGAATAGCTTGTCGTTTTGGAGCGTTTAAGTATAACTGCGTGTTCGGCTATTCAGAAAACGCTTAAGATTTCTAAGGGGAAATGCAGACTAAGCAAACCAATCAAACCAAGCATCTGCTCCAGGAGGTTGGGTGCTTTTGTTTCAGTTGTGACCTCAGTTTCGGGAGAGAATAACTTGTCGTTTTGGAGCGTTTAAGTATAACTGCATGTTCGGCTATTCAGAAAACGCTTAAGATTTCTAAGGGGAAATGCAGACTAAGCAAACCAATCAAAC